GAAATGTTAGATATGATTCACTAAACAAAGCTAGGAAGCACAAAGAGTTATTTAGCTCTATAACTACATGTGATCTAACATAAAAATTGTACCCAGCAGAACTTGGTAAAGGCCAGTTTTCACGAATCTGAAAGTATGTGCTAATAATGATTCTATAAATCTGGACATTGTGACGTCTTATCAAGAACAAACAAAATCAATGTTACTCACCATCTTACAATGATGTAAAACAGCCCGTACCAAAGTATTGAAGTTACTATCTCAACAATGATAAGTACTTTGCCATGTTCTTTATAAGTCTGTTTGAACCTCTGAAAGACTGAGAGTTTCTTTACTGGAGCATCACCAGCTTTTGTACCCTCTTGACTAGTGTTAGGTGTGTCTTTTGGGCCTTCCTCTGGCTTTGCTTTAGACTCCTGTTCATTCGGGGGCTTTTGTGGTGTGTTAGATGAAGAATTACAGTACAGTCTGCGAAAGCAGTGGCAGTGAAGGGATGCAACGGGCTGTAATTGGTTAATATGTCGATGACTTGCAGAAAAGCTGACTAAATGGTGGCCTGTATAAATAACAGCATTTTGTTAGTACTGCTAGGGTGCTGTACAGGTTTCCTCATTTTAAAAAAAAAAGTCCAATTAATATAAATATACATTGCCTGTAATGTGCATGGTTTTAAACACATCAAAAAGACGCATACAATCCATATCACAAGCATTTTTACAATATAGAGTATCAAGGAGTATAAACAGGCAATGTTGTGCAGCATTAAAAATGGGGGTGGGGAGGTAAGGTTGTTACATGTAAATAGTAGGACCCAGAAGCATGCTACAGTGGTTTTGCCAATAGGAGAGGTATTATCTTGTGAACATAATATATAAAACGTTCACAAAATACATTTTAGAGGCGCGTCGATTTACCCAAATCATTGAAATGGACCCAAATGGAAACACAAATGGACCCAAATGGAAATCAAATGGAATATTAAACATGTATTATCGTATTTTAATACTTATTTAAGGAGGAACAGGACCTTTAGCTGAAAAAATTCCTGTCAATGAATTGTTTTCGTATTTTTTATATTACTAATTTAGTATGTACTTAACATTTTAAAACGGTCCTGTCATGGGATTTCTTGACTTATTTAAAAGATATCGCCCCTCAAATACCGCCCTGTTTAGAGTTTGTATGGGGTTTAGATACTTCATGTTTACGGGCCCATAACGGAGTCCATAATGCGAATTTTTACGCACAAACGATAAATATGATAGATAACACTAATTACTCAAATATTTCTCAATATTCATAGTGTTTAATTTATCTGAAAGCAATTGTTTTAATTTTATATTGTATTTGGGTGGGATTGCATTTTTCAAGGCAGCTTCAACGACAAAAACCTCATTTGGTAAAAATTCTGTCAATAAATATTTCTAAATTTACGATTGAATGTCAGTCCTTCATCGTAATTATTTACTGCATAAATATCACAGGGTGAAGCTTACCTCAATATCGCACAGGACATCGTTGAATTAGACGTAAGCATGATACAAACACTTCACGTCAGTATTTTCCGAGTGTGGGAAATCAATTGTGACGTCACACGAAAACATAAACATTCAAAATTATCTAAATAGAGAGAATCTCTGCTACTAAACACGAAAAATTATAAATTAAAAAAATCTGCTTCAGAAATTTATCACGATACATTGACTGTGACCCGTTTATTATGAAATAAAACGATCATGACGGGTGTGTGTACTTCATCTCGCTGCACTGAGAATTCAAACACTACGTCTATGACGTCAGTAGACGTCACTGACGTCATACTGCAGAGTAAAGAGAAACAAGTGTGTGGATTGGGCAACTTCACAATATCTAAATGATGGCAAGATCTTTAAAAAAAATTTTGATAATAATATCTAAAATCAAATGTTTAAAAAACAATTTTAGAATTTAGAATGAAATTACTCAAGAACTATTGATTTTAACAACGTTTAATGTATATCATCACCGATTATGACGTAATATGTCTTTTTAGTCATGTGACATGTGCCCTGTCTCCCCTTAAAATGATGAAAATAATGAACTTACAGTTACAAATGGATTTTTTAAATATTGTTAATCTCTAATATTGTATTTTGAAACAAAAAGTTTTGATAGTATTCTATATACCGGCAAAATTATTTGGGGGTAGGGTCGGGGGGGGGGGGTGGGGTTGGCATGGCCTCCCCCCCATCCGTTCCTAAGGCCATACAGAATATGAAATACTTCAGTTTTGTATTCAATAGTTCAATAGTTATTACAAATAGAATTAAATCGCATTTTTAAAAATACAATTGAAGATAATTATGATATTAAAATATTCTCTTTTTGTTTTAATTTCATTATTTTCTATATTTTAAATAAGTAAAAACTTGAGAATACGATATAATATATATATTTTATATTCCATTTGGGTCCATTTGAGTTTCCATTTGGGTCCATCTGCGTTCCATTTGGGTAAATCGACGCACCCCATTTTAGTCTCCTTGCCCTTGGAAAGGAATTATGTATTTTCGTTTAATCTCATAATCGCAGAATAATTTAATTTTTCTTTTCAACACTAGCCCAAGAAATGAATTAAGGCATTATTCCTGATTACTACAATTGCTGTTACCGCAGACACTTGTTTCAATTTTAAGGCACCTCTACCTATTTTTAATAGGGTGTGCCCTGGGGTGCGTTCAACAGCGTAGCTGCTACGTAAAGCTACGTTCTTGAACGGAGAGCTAACCTAGCCGCTACGTATGGAGAGCTAGCATAAATATTTAATGCTACGTCCCAAATCCAAGATGGTTTCCTTGGATACAAATTTGCAGGGGTGCGTTCAACAGCGTAACTGCTACATAGCCGCTACGTAAAGCTACGCTCTTGAACGGAAAGCTAGCCTAGCCGCTACGTAAATTTACACATTTATTTTCGCTTGAAATAAACTTTTTGTGTCCCAAATGATTTATATATTTTTATTCAAACTTTAACACTTAGCTGCTAGGTTAGCTGTCTGTTCTCTAACACCTAGCTGCTAACCTAGCATTCAAGATTTTTACAAAAAGGAGGGTTATTTCCTATATTGGATATTTAAGTGAATTAAATGTAAATTTAAATACATATTTTCGCCTGAAATAAACTTTATTTGATCCAGTAATAAGTTTTTACTGATATATTTTTATTCAAAATGTAACATTTAGCAGCTAGGTTAGCTGTCTGTTCAACAGAGATAGATATCTACTACTTAGCTGCTAGGTTAGCCGATACGCTGTTGAACGCACCCCTGTTTACGAAACAAGTGCCTGCGTCTGTAACGTGAAAATAAATGCAGAAATGATGCAGTGATATTTGAATGCATTCTACAAATACATACTATTGTAATCATGAATGCTTCTCAAGGCACCTGAAGAAAATGTTCTGACACCCTTTTGTGTAAATCTTAATAAAACGGAGTGTTGTTGAAGCATCCGACGACAACCCGTAAGAGATGACATCGCTACTTTCAATTTCAGCCAGGGTCGTGGTAAAAGCAGTACACAAGAAGACCGAGATCCGGAAGCTGCATGCAATAACGCCAACCTGTTGGTGTTACAAGTCGTTAACTAATCTGACATCTGCTGTTTGTATTCTGACAGGTTTAAATCACTCTGTATACATCTTAAATGACAATACTTTAAAGGAATTGAAAAAGAAGAGTCGGAATGTCAGAAGAGCAAAAAAAAAAAAACAAAAAAAAAAAACAAACAAACAAACAAAACCAACAATAAGCAAATATCATTGTTGGGTCTATTTTCATTTACAGTTCTTTTTAGAGTGTATATATATTTATATTATCACTAATTAGGGAACACATAAAATTTTCTTGATGTCAGTAAAAAACATTTTTTTTAATTTGAAAAAATGAGAAGAGGGTTGGGGGAGGTGGTTTACAGATTAACTATTCCTGAGTTTGACCCACTTTTGCAATTTTTTTCAAAGATAAACCTTGGCTACAACTTTTAAACACCAGGTGCTAGGGCTATCACATCTTCGCTAGCCAAGGGTTTTCTGTCTGCACCACTCCCCATTATGGGGAGCGGTGCGGACCGAAAACCCTTGGCTAGCGAAGATGGGGCTATCACACTTCACTTACACCTTTCTAAGGCTATAAAAATTTTTTAGCTTTGACTTTAACTCTTTAAAAAAACTTTTTCCTTGGCTAAAGCAATTGACAACATAGAACTAGGGCCTTCATATTTCACTAATGCAAGACCTTCGTTTGGATACCAGCAAATTTGACCTTTTGACCTTGGAATTTGACCCATTTTTTGAAAAAAAAAACATTGGCCATTACTGTTGAACAGTCATTTATACTAGAGCTTTAATTTTTCTTTAATATATCTTTCTGATGAAAAGGTCTTCCTCTGGGTATCTCTAATTCGACCCTTTGACCTTGGAGTTTGACCCACCTTCTAAAAAGTTTATTCTTGGCCATAACTTTTGAGTAGTAGGTGCTTGGGCTTTCATATTTTACAGGTATAATTATTGAGACAAGTCTTTTGGGTTGCAGCATTTTTCATCTCTTGATCTTGGAGTTTTTAAATTTTCATTTATGAAACTTAAACCTTTGCTAAAATTTGCCATATGGGATATCAGTGTTTCACAAACAAATCTTGTTTTCCTTGCAAGCAAAAAATATATTCAGGCAATTTCAAGTTTTTTTTTAATTTTCACAATGCTGTCCTTGAATTTGAGCAGAAATTTTTGAAGTTCACATAAAACTCAGATGGTTTGATAATTGGTTTAGTTTCTTTTACTTTTCTTTGGTCTTTTGACAATTGTTCCTCATTTGTAATCTGAGATAAACAAAGATCATGACAATAACACAAGACTGTTTCCTTGTTGTCAGTTGTATTCTGTTCACTATTGTTTTTATTCTCTGAGTTTACATCCAGGGTGCTTTCAAACTTCCTTGAGATAGACATCTTTCTTTGATTTTGAAAAGAAACATGGGGTAAATGCTTGGTTTCTGTCTCACATTCATTTATGATCGTCCTACTATCCTCTGCTTCACCATGAAAAGATATTTCAGAATTTGTCTCAAATGGTTTTAACATGGAATCTGCAGAGCTCTGTTCAGTTCTTTTATTTTCTGTACATTTTGTAGATAGAGTAGAGGTTAATTCACATCCTGAACAGCTAGAACTTGAGGACTTTTCTGTTGTTATCTGCTCCTCTTTACTTTCTCCTGGACTAACACATGAACTCTTGTCTGGTATCTTAATGTCTGAAGTAACAGTTTCTAACCTTGCTCTTTTAGCTGAGGGTTCACAGACTGGTCTTAACTCAGCAAGCATCTACACAAATTAAGATACAGAATTATTACAGTACATATATATCAATATTCAGTAGCTTATTTTCTGTTTCAAACATGTACAAGTGTATAATTGCTATTGATTGTCTAGCTCAGTGAATTTACTCCATTCATATAATAAATCAGTTCCTCTATTTAAATTATTTCTTCTAGGTCCCTGTAATAAGAGTTCGAATTTAAAAAAATTAAAAAGTTAATTAGATATTTACTTGACTTTGTAATATGTTTTCTGTCTTTTTCCCCAGGTACAGGGAACAGGCATTGGAAAACTGCCCTTGGCCCCTCAGGTCCATGATGTCCTCCATGTCTTCAATTTTCTCCTCTGACAGAAAATGAATCAGTTTAGCATTATCAAAATGTTTGAAAGGACAACCTCCACTACTTCCACATGGCGGCACAAATTCCTAAAAATGATATAATCAATGTAGCAATACAAGAATATATTCTGAAATCTCTATATATAATATAATGTCCTATACGTTTACAGTTGCACATCGACATCTCAAACACCAATATCTCAAATACCATGGATATCTCAAAATGAGTTGCGAGTCCCATTACTCCCAAACACTTTTTCTTTATGAATTTTAAGCTAGATATCCTGAATCTTGGGATATTTCTAATTTTTTAACATCTCTTCAAGTTCAAGATAACAAGGTTTGACTGTATTTAATTAAATTCTACATTCAATCATCCACCCACCTGGAGGGAGATACAGCAGTGCGCCCTGTAATTGACACGGGACCCCTCCAGTCCGTACAGATGCCGAATACTGTACTGGTACCTCCACTCGTTCCCCTCCCACTTGTGATGACAACCACCCCGGGGATCACTGGCCTTGCTGTAATAATGCCTCCATAACTGTAAAGCCTCATGGACAGGCAGACCAATCTCTTTTAAGAACAATGTCAGCTGGATCTGGAAAAGGCAAAGTGCATTCAATATTTTCCATCATTTTCTGTTAAACTATGATCCATCCTGAGTGTATGCTATGCAGAGCAAACATAAACTATAAAAACATCAGAGGTGGTATCAGGTGCCAAGAAGGATAAGCATCCTCTCTTTACCAGACACACTCACTGTGTGCTCCTTGTCATTATTGAGCAAACAGAAAAGTCTGTAGACAATTCAATTTGAAAATAATTTTTTAATAATAACAATTTGTATGAAAAAGATCAATCAAATTGAACTTAATAATAGATTGTATTTGCTGACAAATCATGGCATTGCTCATAGGATTAGCAAAATGATGACTTTAAACAAGACTATTCATATCCTTGTGTTACCATCTTATTTGTCAATAGCTTGCCTTATTTCAGAAATTGTTCTCACAAATGGCATGATTTTATGTATCAATCAAATGGGAGACATAAACTTCATATGCAGGTGTTTGTTTAAGGCAACATAACACACCCTCAGTGTATTATTAGTTACATAGTCTTTTAGCGACAGGGTACAGGATGATACCTGGTTAGTAAATTTCATACCTGGCGAGGCAGAGCTGAGTCAGGTATGAAATTTACTAACCTGGTATCATCCCGTACTCTGTCACGAAAAGACTATGTAATGAATTTACCCCACCAATGAAACATTTACAAATTATCTGTGGTTTATTAATGCTTTTTTTTGCTACATGCTTCATCACGCTTATACTGTGCCTATTATGACGTCACGTTTTGTTAGTTACGTAATACCTCGACCGGATATAGATTTACAACTGACCGGGTATAAGTAATCCACCTCCTTCACATGACAGACTTCAACCAATCGTAAGCCAGGATTTCATGGAAAAATCAACAGAGGTGGGGTAAATGTGTGTACAGTGGACATACCCTGGAATGGTGCTGAAGTCTGTTGTTTTCATGAAGATTCTGAAATAGCACTGACATACATGGTGGGAAGAACTTGCTCTCTGACATCACTTCCTGTTGTTCCAAAGAAGAGGAGGTTGCCCAAGACACATCAGAATATGGCTTGTAGTTATTCCATAATATTATCTAAACACAAATGTTAAACACATGAATTTATTTGTGCCCAAACTACTACATACTTAGAAATACCATATTACTTGTATTAATGATTTGAAATTAAAAAACATAGGTAATCAGAGATTACAGAGCTCACCTCAACGTGTGTTGTCTTTAAGTAAGGCAAATTAAGTCACACAATTAACCAACAAAAAGTGTACATCCAAAAATGCAAAATTTATGCAAATTTGATACTTTGGAATAGACATATATAAAAACTAAAAACTAGTTCTTCATCATGAAAATGTAATTAAAATCCAGCATCTGAAGCAAGATTGAGAGTTTTCTTCCCTTGATGCATCATTTGTGCAACTGGTTTATATAAGCCTTATAGTTTCTTGGTGATAGACTTGCACCCATAACTTTTACGAGGTCTATTATCTGGAAAATGTATGTCGAATTCAGCATCTGAAGCAAGTCCATTAGTGTGCATCCTAAGATGTATCATCCATGCAAGTTTGGTCAACATAGGGCTTAAAGTTACTTGCAAATGAAACCTGTATAAAAAAAATAACCTTTCCACTATTCCAGAAAATGTAGGTCAGATTCAGCATCCGAAGCCAGCCTAGTAGAATGCACCCTTAGATGTACCATCCATGCAAGTTTGGTCATTATAGGGCTCAAAGTTACTTGGAAATGAATCCTGCACCATAAACTTTAACCTGTTTTCTCGTCCAGAAAATTTAGGTCAGATTCAGCATCCGAAGCAAGTCTGGTAGTATGCATCCTAAGATGTACCATCCATGCAATTTAGTCGTTATAGGGTTCATAGTACTGTACCTTGTAAATGAAACCTGCACCCAAAATTTTAACCTGTTCACTCAACAGGAAAATGTAGGTCAGATTCAGCATACGAAGCAGGTCTTGTAATATGCATCCTAAGATGTACCATCCATGCAAGTTTGGTCATTATATGTCTCATAGTAACTTGGAAATGAAACCTGCACCACAAACTTTAACCTGTTCTCTCAACCGGAAAATGTAGGTCAGATTCAGCATCCTAAGCAAGTCTAGTAGATTACATCATAAGATGTACCATCCATGCAAGTTTGGTCATTATAGGGCTCAACGTATCTTCGAAATGAAACCTTCACCAAAAACTTTAACCTGTTCACTCAACCGGAAAATGTAGGTCAGATTCAGCATCCAAAGCAAGGCTGGTAGTATGCATCCTAAGATGTATCATCCATGTAAGTTTGGTCATTATATGTCTCATAGTAACTTGGAAATGAAACCTGCCCTAAAAACTTTAACCTGTTCACTCAACCGGAAAATGTAGGTCAGATTCAGCATCCGAAGCAAGTTTAGTAGAATACATCCTAAGATGTACCATCCATGCAAGTTTGGTCATTATAGGGCTCAAAGTATCTTCAAAATGAAACCATCACCAAAAACTTTAACCTGTTCACTCAACCGGAAAATGTAGGTCAGATTCAGCATCCGAAGCAAGGCTGGTAGTATGCATCCTAAGATGTATCATCCATGTAAGTTTGGTCAACATAGGGCTTATAGTTACTCGGAAATGAGACCTACACCAAAACCTGCACCAAAAATGTTAACCTGCACCAAAAACATTAACCTGGTCATTCCTTTGCTGAAATTGCAGCATCTGAAACTTTGACTGGTACAATGAAACACACTAGCAACATCTTCCATGCATGTCTAATCAATATAGGACATAGAAGTACTTAAAAAGAAAACTGCTCCAAAAAACTTAACCTTAACCCGGGACGCCGACGCCGACGCCGAGGGTATCACATAAGCTCCCCCCAACTTCGTTGAGGTGAGCTAAAAATTGATGTATAGTCTCTGAGAATTCAAAACATATTTATAATTGCGCATTGGAGAAAAAGCTTGAGAAAATTTCTAGAAAATTAAGAACCTTTACCTGCAATCTATGTCTGAGTATTCTACATCGCTTATCCAAGCTTCCCTGCATGGATTTACACTTCTGTAAGCCATGACGAAGAATGAGCTTAAAGCAGTGTTCCAGCACATCATGTAGGTAACAGTATGGCACATCAGCCTGTCCATATTGAATGGTAACTTCTCTCTTAGCCACTAACTGTGGTACAACAGAAAAGGGGACACGGAAGGATAAATTTTTACATATGTCATGACTGTAGGACACCACCTTTCTCCAGCTTCTGGGGGAACTTTTTATCTGTGATAGAATGCTCTGAATTTGGTCCACTAGAGACAAGTCTGGAGATGATGGATGTATGGAATCATGGAGTTTCTTCAGCTTTGATTCGACATGAGACAGATATCTACAATTCAGTTTTTTTGGTAATATAAAAAAATTTCCAAATAAGTAATCTACTTTATTGTGTAAGATTTATACTAAATTACTTCACAATATTTTGTTTCTAATATATAAAAACCTGCAAAATATGATATAAATTTATATAAAATGGTATTCATCATTGTCCCAAATAGTTCTTTAATGAGCTAAATTTAAATTTTGAACATATGGAAAAAGTACTTGTAATTTCAGTATTTTAACACTTGGTGATGATTACCAACAGTCAATCCAATACATTTCACAGGATTTTTGCATCCATACCTAGATAATTCTGTATCATTCATGCTCTGTAGTCTGAATTGGAAGAGTCTGGTTTCAGCTTGTAGAAGAAAATCACAGGTATCAGCCTCATTTGCCAACAGAAGTCTGCCAATTTAAACAAGAGGCCCATGGGCCACATCGCTCACCTAAGCACTGTAGCTAGGAAAAAAATCAATTCAGTAAATACCTAAGTGGTCCCAATCCTAAAAAAAGGGGGGGTGTATGATTTGAACAAACTTTCATCTATGAAAACTTGATTCTACAATAACTAAGGATGCTTACATATTTTTTTGACTAACTACAGTGGCTTTTTTCCCTATAAGTTTGAACTTTTATTGTGGTCCCACCCAACCCTGGGGGTCATGATTTTAACAAACCTGTATCTAAACTACCTGAGGATGCTTTTATATAAATATGACCAATCACGGCTTTGCTGTTCTCAAGAAGAAGATTTTTAAAGATTTTTTCCTATGTATTCCTATGTAAAACTTTGATCGTCCATTGTGGCGCCGCCTACCCCCGGGGGTCAAGATTTGAACAAACTTGAATCTTGGATGTTTCCACATATGTTTCATCTTTCCTGGCCCAGTGGTTCTTGAGAAGAAGATTTTTGAAAATTGCCATTAATTTTCAGTATTATTAATTATCTCCCCTTGGGATGGGGCACGGCCCTTCATTTGAACAAATTTGAATCCCCTTCACCCAAGAATACTTTGTGGCAAGTTTGGTTGAAATTGGTCCAGTGGTTCTTGAGAATAAGTCGAAAATGTGAAAAGTTTACAGACGGACAGACAGACAGACGGACGACGGACAAAATGTGATCAGAAAAGCTCACTTGAGCCTTTGGCTCAGGTGAGCTAAAAATCAAATGTAATTTTAATATAACATTATACCCAGGTAACATAACAAGATATAACAAGATAACAATACAAGTGATTTCAAGCTCAAGACTCAAAATGTCCTTTCTAGGCTGAAGTTTGACATATTATGTTTCAGTCTGTAACCTTAATTTACAAGGGCTCAGCCGACATGTGGACTGATTTCAAATACATGCAGTATATTTGATAAAAATGACAGGATCCGTTCCAAAATATTTATTAAAATTAAGACATATTCATTTTAGCACTAGAGCATTCCGTCTACAGTGAGCTATGTAAATTTACAAAGGGATTTATTCTAAAAGGCCTATTAATTTCATTACTCTAAAATCTTTTAAAATTTAATTAATGATTGGAATTTAATTATCATCAAAATTTGATATTAGTACACTTCCACCTATTTTGATTTTCACTAGAAGTATCTTCCATGCACGTCTGATCGATGCATGGTATAGAAGTACTTAAAAAGGAAACAGCACCAAAAACCTTAACCTGGGATGTCAATTAATGCCTACCCTGACAAATGGATATTATTATGAATATACAGAAACAAATCAGGGAAGTTAAGTAAAGAGACAAGAAACAGCTGAAGAAGGTATTCTCTTTAGAAAAGTAGACATTCCTTTGCCTACATCCATGTGGAAAGGTAAAAGCCTTTTCACTTTTCTGTAAATCAAGAGAATATTGAAGAAGGGTGCTCACTTCTGAGTAGATAGAACGTCCTATCGTTAAACTGATATTGTCCTACGGATCCGGTTTAACTAACGAGAAAAACTAATTGAAGACCTACAGGTAACTGAAGACCTACAAAAATAAGGGTTATATAAAGCAAAACTGATGTAATATTCTGATTAACTAACTGTGGTGAAGGCTTGTCCCTAAACACAGATCATTCAAACTAACTTCTGAGATGCAAAGCAGCTAACATTTTAAATGTCAAACTACTGATTAAAAACATTGGAAAAAAAGAATTTGAATATGTAATATAATAACATAAAAAGCAAACCTCAAGGTAAAATGAGATATAATATCTTTATGGGACCCTTCAAGTAACACATCGGAATCTATCACAACCTCCGGGTCGGACAAAATCGACATGAAGTCGTCTATTTGGCTTTCACATTTTAAAACTCTTAATAAGAATTTCAATCTAACTGTTGCAAAATGCTCAAAGTTTTTTAAAGCTATCACGCCTCTTGGTGATTCAAAATAAAACATAATTTCAAGCTACTTTCATTTTGCGTTTAAACAATTTTTACCAAATGTACCTCCCTGTACTGAAGAGCTTAAATACGACACGGGTAAAAGTAGATACAAAGACCCTGCACGGACTACAGACAGTTATGGAAGAGAAGGTGGAGGGGATAATAAAGGGAAAATGTACAAGTGCAAGAACATGCATAATACTAAATTATCTAGTCAAAAGACTGACGATATAATGATGGTGAAGTAATTTATCTCAGTGACCATTGAACTAGCCGGAATAAAATTGGGGCAAGGTCACATCCTAAGGTCATTAAAAATCTTTGCAAAAACTTTCAAGGATAACTGATTGTACATTACAAAGTTATAATCAGGACAAGTATTTATTCTATTTCCTGCCAGTGACCTTGAACTTGCCAGAATGGCATTGTGTCAAGGCAAAGGCACACATGCAGATCAAGAACACATTCTTAACAAAGTTTGACTAGGAAAAAGTTTTTTTTTCTATGCACCCGGATCGATAGATTCAGGGCATGTATTGTTTTTGTCCTGTCTGTCTGTCTATCTGTTTGTCTGAAAACTTTCACCTTCGCCATAACTTTTGAACCATGAAAAATAGAGACTTCACATTTGGTATGCATAATCCACTAATTAAGCTCTTTCAAATGACACCAAGGTCAATGACCTTGTGACCTTGACTGTGACCTATATGCTAAAAACAGCTTTTTTGTCTGCAAACTTTAACTTTTGCCATATTAACTTTTGAACCATGAAAGATAGAGACTTCATATTTGGTATCCATTTGACCTATATGCTAAAAATATCTTTTTAAAACCTTCACCATAACTTTTGAAATATGAGAAAAAGAGACTTCATATTTGGTATGCATACTCCACTAATTAAGCTCTTTCAAATGACACCAAGGTCAATGACCTTGTGACCTTGACTGTGACCTATATGCTAAAAACAGCTTTTTTGTCTGCAAACTTTAACCTTTGCCATAACTTTTACACCATGAAAGATAGAGACTTCATATTTGGTATCCGTTTGACCTATATGCTAAAAATATCTTTTTAAAACTTCACCATAACTTTTGAAATATGAGAAAAAGACTTCATATTTGGTATGCATACTCCACAATAAAAGTTCTTTCAAATGACACTAAGATCAATGACCTTGTGACCTTGCCTGTGACCTATATGCTAAAAATATTTTTTTTTTGTACAATTGTACCTTCGCCATAACTTTTGAACCATATTTGCATATTTGATATGCAAACTCCACGAATTCAGTTCTTTCAAATGACACCAAGGTCAATGACCTTGTGACATTGACTGTGACCTGTATGCTAAAAATATCTTTTACAAAACTTTGTCGCCACCGGGCGCACAGTGTTTCACAAACACATCTTGTTTCAATCTTGGTTCAAGATCATGACAGTTTAGGTCAGGCTTAGATCATGAAATATACATAGACTTAGGTCAAGACTTCAATCATCTGTAGAATGTTTATTCCTTGTAAACTGAAACTTTCAATTTCCATACAACAGCAGTGCATTAATTAATGCAAAGTTCAAAAGCATCTCGATTTCAACATCATAAAAGATTTGTTTTTTTGTTTTTATATAAGCTTTTTCTTTCAGTGATCTTGAACTTGCTTTAATGTACTTGGTCATGGTCAAGGTCATGGCATACCCTCAGATTATAGGGATTCTTTGTACCAAGTGTGCCAATGATTAAGAAGTTAAAACCTTGCAAAGCAAGATTGCAGAGAGAGAGAGAGAGAGAGAGACAAGGCGATTCCTTTTGTTTGTAGGGGCAAACAAATGTTGAAATTAAAAGAATAGCTAATACAATTTCTGTTTTAACTCCAGTCAAATGGTATCATCTAATGTAAGTTAGCTTCTGTGTCCATTTTTATTGTTAAACAAAGAGCTGTCTATTTGATAGACATTTGTGTAAAAGAAATACGCACGCTAACTCTCGATTCCCGCCTACATTTTGGAACCATTTAATTCAATATAAATAGCAATTTGGCCATAAAATCTTTGTTTAATACAAAGAACAGTTCAATGGTAATTGATGAATTATCTTAATACCAGCGCTAAATAGTAAATTATCCGTAATTCCAGCTCTTGAAAAAAGGGGGGTAGACAATATTTTCCATTTAAATCAGGCTTTCAAGCATCACCATATTTTGAAATAGTCTTGGATACGACTAAATGTTCCTTATATCTTTTCTCAAGTTTTAGGCAAATAAATAAAACATAAATATATCAATAAAATATAATGTTTCAGATGTAAATCGCTTTGAAATTGGTGGAAAATAAGCATTTTTATCGTTTTTTGTCAATAAACATATGTTCCCCCCCCCCCGCATCACACAAAAAGCTTTGGTATGAATTTGTGAAATAACATTCCAAACTAGTGCTAATTGTAACGGGGACCGTTACAGATGTTCCCCAAACGCTCCCCAACTCTCTTTTTGTGCCATATTCCCTGTAAGCTTCATTAAATAAGACAAACTCTATTCATTTGAGACTTTAACAACGTTTATACAGAAGTGTACCGAGTTCATTCAAATTTTAGCATTGCACGCGTGTGCATGTGAATGCATATGCGTAATGACCATATCATCTTGTCTACACAATCTATATATTTTAATATACTAAATATTAAAGTATTTAATACAAAAGTATTAAAAAATACGCTCATTCAAGTGTATTTTTGATTTTACTCATTTCACGTGCACACACGTGCATACGTGAGCATGGTAACCATGCTTTCTTGTAGAAGTCTATAACATCTATCTATGTTCTGAATCCCACCCCGTTTGGTTGAAAACCAAGGGAGTTATAGCGGTTTATAGTTTCAACCAATCAGATTGCAGCACACGTACATGCACTTGCATGCATGTGCATGGTGACCATACCTTCTTGTAGAAGTCCATTATATCTATCTATGTTCCAAATCCCATCCTGTTTGGTTGAAAAACAAGGGAGTTATAGCTATATAAAGTTTCAG